ATTCACAAATCAATGCAGTCAGAAGCCTTCCTGCAAAACCGCATAGATAATAAAAGAATACAAGTTAGCTCACTGAATCTCACGAAACCTGACACCTTATGTTTGGTTTATAATGCACAATTTAGATAATAACAGACAATATGAAATTTTTACAAAAAGGTGCAAAACCCGTTACGTCCCAGGAACAAATATAGTATCGTGTCTTATAGACAGAGGACGAAAATAATATGACTCAAATACACAGAACGTTTCTCTATCTGAGGCTAATATAGAAATATAACAGGATGATGCCAAAGAAGTATAACTAGCACATACTCATAGGACGCAAAACAGAAAAACAGAAACAAAAATGGTGAGAAATGAAAAACCTGAAGGAGAATTGTGGAGTTGCTTTGCACGGTCATTGCAGCTACCCAAAAGGGCAGGGGGTAGCCCTTCATCTTTTTCTACCACTCTATCTTCCTCTTCTATTGCTTCAAACACACTAGCTCTCAGTTCAGCCTAGTAATCAAGAAAATCAGAAGCTCAGCTTCAAGTTTGATTGTTCGATACAAAAAACTCTATAAACTTAGGTCCAAATATAAAATAGGATATTAGTAACATTATAACCCTACGACAAAGTCCCCTGCAGAAAATTCAAACCATGATACAACAATTATATCCAGCTACAATCGAACTCCAGGATCCAATTACGTGTAAGGAGAAATTTAAAAACTGAAAAATAGCAAAATCAAGAAGCGTCATTCGAAACCAATTTTCATAATAACCCAGCAAAAAAACCCAAGAGTGCCCTCTCCATTAAAATCTGCCCATCACACGCAAATAGCATTCTTCATTTACCAATCTTTAAAGGGTCCAAATCTGAAGCTACTGTAAACGCGTGACACCAATTGTAACAGAACCATCAAAAAAGGAACCCTCAACCCCAACTCAACAAACACAACATGAGCAAAAATCCATCTTCCACAAATTAAGTAACGTGAACAAGCAAATAAGAAAAGCCCAAATTATAACAGAAGAACAAATGGAAACCCAATTAAACAAAGAGTACGAAAAGAAAACGGTAATGCTAACACGGATCTTGGCAAGGACGCCTTTCTTCTCGAGAGTACGTGTAACCAGGGTTTTCAAATCCATCATCTCTCTCGTATAATCGTCCATCTTTTCTGAAAAATTACTGAATCGTTGAGGCCCTTCTTCTGAGATTGACACTTGAAAGGCCCCCTCCTTAGTTTAATTCGTCTGATTTTCGAGTTTTGGGGGTTTTTGGTGTTTTGGATTTGAACAGAGTTCGAACTGAGAGAAGCAATGGCTGTCGGGTTGGTGTGATAATTGGTAATGAAAAATATCAATAGATTTTTTTTTTTAATGGTAAAAAAGGGGATCTGGAGTTGAATATTGTTAAATGACATTTATGTCCTCCTGTCTTCTTCTCGTATATTATTGCTTTTCATCTTTTCTTTTACTTTATAAACTTTCTTTCTTTTTTAACCATAGAGTAGACTAATAAAAACGCAAAATTATAAATCTAGATACAATTAGGATTATGAATAGTCGAACAGTCATCCACCTGAATCTAAATGAGACATACACAAAGGTGACCTATAGACTTACACTAACGCACCCACAAACTTAGACAAACTAAACACTCCCACTAGATAATACTAAATATGACAACTAAACAACACACAAACACTAATACTAGTAATACTAAAGTAACACCCTCCTTTCGCCGGTAAGAAAAACGCAACAATTCATGGCTCGACACCTGAAGATGACAACACAAAAGGAAGGATCCCAGCTCGAGAACTGAACCAGAAATTCTAGCAAGCGGCTAACCGAATCGCAGACTCCTCTCTCGAACGGCTACCTGTGGACCAACTACTGGAAGACCACCCCTTCCTCCCCACCCATCAACGGCGACCCCAAACCAACCATTGGTCGAGACCGCACCCCACACCCACTAGACAAAACCGACCCCCAACACCGACAAACGGAAATAGGGAAGAAAAGGACCATACCTCAACCCCGACCCACTCACTGGGTAGGCCAGCCGATCGACCCAATTTAGCTCCCGCCAAAACCCGCTCCACCACCCATAGACAACCGAAGAGTGCGACAAAGCTCTACATCAAGGAGGGGATGAGGACTCCTACTGGGGCGAGTTGCTTGGGATGGTGACGAAAAGATCAATGGCGCCTCGGATTGTGTAGCACAAATGAGGTGAAGACTCGATAGAAACAGCAACGACAAAGTTTCTAATTTAGGGAGAAGGGGTTTTTTATTTTTCCTTTGTAACTCAGTTTTTTAATGTACATCAAACTATTTCAAATGTAACTCAATATATATTGGTCAACATCTTTATATTGGTCAAAATGCCAAATTTTGAATAGAAAACTCCTTTTATTATAAATGAAAAATAGGAACCCAACATTAAGATGGAGCAATGATTATTTTTAGATGACATCACTATTTTCTCCCAGTTTTAAAGATGGAGCGACAAAGTTTCTAATTTAGGGAGAAGGGGTTTTTTATTTTTCCTTTGTAACTCAGTTTTTTAATGTACATCAAACTATTTCAAATGTAACTCAGTATATATTGGTCAACATCTTTATATTGGTCAAAATGCCAAATTTTGAATAGAAAACTCCTTTTACTATAAATGAAAAATAGGAACCCAACATTAAGATGGAACAATGATTATTTTTAGATGACTATCACTATTTTCTCCCAGTTTTAAAGATGGAGCGACGAAGTTTCTAATTTAGGGAGAATGGGTTTTTATTTTGCCTTTGTAACTCAGTTTAATGTACATCAAACTATTTCAAATGTAACTCAGTATATATTGGTCAACATCTTTATATTGGTCAAAATGCCAAATTTTGAATAGAAAACTCTTTTTATTATAAATGAAAATAGGAACCCAACATTAAGATGGAGCAATGATTATTTTTAGATGACATCACTATTTTCTCCCAGTTTTAAAGATTGATCAAGTTTTTCATATCGCTAAAAATAAACTAACACTTTTTCACCCTACAAAGTGCGAAATAAATTATGCGATAAACTATCCGACAAACAAACGAAGATAATTGATATGTCATAAACTACACAACATGCAGACGAAGATAATCGATAAGGTGCGAAAATTTAGGAGATACAATATGCGACATGCATGCGTTAATAATTGATAAACTGCAAAATATTTATGCGATAAACTATGTGATAGTCAGGTGAACATAATTGATAAAATGCGAATCAAATTATGTGATAAATAATATGATCGATAGACGGAGATATTTGATAAAGTGCAAAATAAATTATGCGATAAACTATGCGACAGACAAACAAATATAATTTATAAAGTGTTTGTTCCGTTTTTGTTGCTATTTTTGTTGCTATTTTCTGTGTCGTTCCCCCTATTTTAGGTATTTTATTAGGTATTTTCGGTCCATTTTGTCGTTTCTTGTGTTTTTATCTTTATTATGCCGTGTTTAGTATTTTCTTTGTTTTTCCTCCTATTTTCTTGTTTTTCGTGTTTTTCCGGTTGTGGTGGTTTCAGGTTCAGATAATGATAGCGGTATTCGGTTCCGGCTCCTAGGAGTTATGCATTGGTTCATGCGTCTAGAACATGCGAGGATTGAGTTTTAGCTCGGGGAGGGCCCGAGAGACGCTAGCCGAGAGCACGTGAGTTCAAGTGAACAAATTTTTGGAGCAGTCCAGACCATAGCGCCGCTATGGCCTGTTGAGAAAGCGGCGCTCGACACCATAGCGATGGGCAGAGGATCAACATTTCCAGCCATAGCGGCGCTAACCCCTTAGCGCCGCTATGCCCTATTTTGTAACAGCTGCGTTTTTTTTCGTAATTTCGAATTGGGGACTTATTAGATAGAGCCTAGGGTATTATTGGAGGATTCAGACTTCGTTTTTTTCACAGTTTTTCATCTCTAGAACATATCTTTCACTTGGTTTTATCTTGGATTGGATTTTGGAGCATAAAAACTCCTTTTTCTAGCGTTGGATTTGGATTGTTCGTTATTTTTCTCGATAATGGATTCGGTAATAATCGTAAGCATTCCTTTTTATTTTGAGAATAAATGTGATGGCTTCTTTTATTGGGAATGTTTGTGTTGAAATTGCGATGAGTAGCTAAATTCCATAAGTTAGGGATAGGGGACGATTGTTTCGGTTCGTTTTCAATTACGTGTTTGATAATTGTTCAATCCTTGCGAGTTGTGCGTATTCTAGGGTTAGTTGATTGATCACCAATCTAACCTAATCAATTGACGTTTAGAACCAAAAGGGGAGGCGTCGGTCGATTTAGGCTCATTATGAATAGACTTGTTCGTTACTGTATTGCCTATGTGTTGTAGGGTTTGATGAGTTGCTCGTGTATGTTCACCTTCTTGTTACGAAGAGTTATTGAAGGTGAACCTCCATACGAATAGGCGATTCAAACCCCTTAACCGAGCAATTGATTGCCCGGTAATTGGGTCAAGAACCGAAAACGATTGTCCCCGACTCCCTAACTCATAATCAAGTTAATCCGTTTGCTATTGAATTATCGTACCTCTTGCTTTAAAATTCGTAGTTGATAATTAAATCCCCAAACAATTGATTTAGAATGTTTAGGAATTTTACTTCTGTCATTTGTGCTTGAATAAACGTACAGAATATTCCGGCTAACCTTCCTCGAGAGAGACGACCCGGGGAACGAATCTTTCGATTATACTCCGGTAAAAATATTTACAACATAAAGTACAAAATATTTATGCTACTATGCGAAAGATAATAGAAGATAATTGATAAAATACGAATATTTATGCGACAACTATGCGAAAGAGAGAAGAAGAAAAGTATAAAGGCGAAATATTTATGCAATAAACTACGTATGCGACAGACCTGCGAAGATAATTGATAAAGTACGAAATATTATTTATGCCACACATATGCAAAATACAAGCGAAGATAATAGATAAAGTGCACAATATTATACGACAAATATGCAAAAGAGAGGAGAAGATAATTGATAAATGATATATATGTGATAAACTAGCGACGTACGTGTAAATATTATCGATAAAGTACGAAATAATTATGCGAAACAAATTATGTGATAAACAATGCGACAAATATTAAGTCGATTGAGTGGCGTATTGATTTTGATATTATATTTAAATAGTATTTAAAATGTAATGATCATTGTTTTTAAACCGGCCCGGAAATCGACTCGGGCGGGTCTCTAGGTCACCGGTTCAACCGCGTCGGGTCACCGAGTCAATTTGCTGAACCCGATAATTAAGTTATAAATTTTTTAAATTATATATAGAGCATTTTGTCATATAAATATACATAAAAGTAACAAAATTAAATATTTGCAGATAATCAGTTCAGTAAGAAAAATTTTGTATATAAAATTTGTACATTAAAGTGTTAATAATAGGTATTTCATGATAAATATCATTGTTCTGAAAACCGACCGGTCATCGAACCAGTAAAGCTACTGGTTCAATGGTTCACTGGTCGAACCAGCGGTCGAACCGGTTGAACCAGTTTAATTAATATATAATTTTTTATTTATTTTATATGTATAATATATAATTATATAAATTTTATATCATTAATTTTATGAATTTTACAGTGTATAACATTTCTCTAAATAATAACTCAATAATAGATACAACTGACAATCTTTATTTTATTTTTTATATTTAAAATTTTAATATATATTTAAGTTACAAAATAGAGAGAATATAAAAACCATATTTTCATTTTAATCACATTTTAAATTTTTTATTTTTGATTTAAAAAATAAAATAAAAATAATGTACATTAATTTGCTTATCTCTTTTTTACTAATTTAAAATAGACATAGCACAACAGATAACCAATTTAAAAAATAGTACCTTTTTTTTTTTTAAGAATACAATATTGCTTATAAGGCCCAATAAATTTAGCAAGTGAACATATCCCGCATTGAAAACACAAGTAAAAAATGTGTGCTATTTAAATCACTTCACAATGAATTAATTTCAAATTCAAAATCTTGAACTGTTGAACCAGTCGAACCCGGTCCAGGTTCACCGGTTCAACCGGTTTTGGACCGGTTCGAACTGTTTTCTTGACAGGTTCAAACCGGACCGGAATGAAGGCCGATTCCCGAACAATGATAAATATTTACCATATAAATATAATACATAGTTTTATTTTTTAAAACAATAAATATTTTAAAAAATAAAAAAGATAATAAAAAAAAATATAGGCATCGGGTCGACCCAGTCGCTTCAATGTTCCGAATCGACCCGGTCAAAGATGGGTTGACTATGTTTTGACCGGGCTTGACCGGGTCCTTTGTTGCCCGGTCCGAATAGCCCACCCGGATCGGTTCCGACTCCGGGTCGACCTGCCGGGCCAGTCCGGGTTGACAAACGTTGGTAATGATTAAAGTTGATAAGATGTAAAAATAAAAAAAAAAAAATATATAAAATGATAAATAATTAAAAATATTTGAGTAGATGAATGGTACATGATGTGATGTTTAAAGACGATTAATTGTTATTATTTAGTTATATTGATAACTAGTACAACGCCCGTGTATTACACGGGTGCTTGCAAATTTTTTTTCTTAAAATCTAAAATTAATGAGAAAAAGTAGTTGAAAATTTAAATACCTTATATATATATATAAATAGATATTTAGTATGACATATTTTATTTGTGCGACTTACCTGTGTTATATTATAATAATTTTTATAACTTACAACATATAACTACATTAAACATAAATATATCAATTGAGAAATAATTTTATTTTTCAAATAAATTTTAATGAATATTACTATTTTTTTATTATTATGAAGATAAATATAATTTATTTATTTCATATATACAATATGGATGTCAAATCGAAGATTATCAAAAGATGATTCATTTGATATATTATATATGTAAAACCGATAAGAAATACAAAAGTTATCAACTTTTAAAGTACATTTACAATTCAATAGTCAATTGAAGGAAACAAATCAAAAGTAAGAGATATATTAGTCACTTAGTGTCTTACTATGTAAAATTAAAAAGAATTAAAAGGTTATATTAGTAAAAGTGATATTAAAATACTTAACTTAGCTAAATAATATGTATGGAATGTCCGAACCTAAATTATTAATTATTAATATATCAATATTATTTGTCCAAACCTAATTACGAAGCATGATTCTTTGCCAAGTAGGATTCCGAAGCACCAGAAGCAGCCACGTAGGCTCAGCGAATTCGGAAATTATATATAAGGAGGATATTAAGGACAATTAGGTCATACTAAATTTGATTTGGATTCTGAATTAAAAATGGATAAAAAAAATTATCCAATCTGTCAAAATCGATTTTAATCTATACTCAATCGCCCCCTCAATAACTCTGAAAAGTTACACAATGACTAATCATAATTCTCATTGTCTTGAAACTTAAAAGTCAGCAAACATACTTGAGCACAAATTAGAACAAAAATCCACAAAGCATATTATATGTAAATACTAAGAGCAAGCGAAACCGCAAGCAGATTCAAAAGAATTAATACCCCTTAAGAGGGGCAAAATCCCAAGCAGGTATAACATTTTTTTTTTTTCAGTAACGAAGCAATTTACAGAAAAAAGCTTCAACAAGCTCCATAAGCACTAAAAATCCTTGTTTAGCTGGAGCTATACCTGATCTGCATTAACAAGAGCTGCTTTAGTTAGATACAGATTACACAATAACTTCCAGTTTACAGCTTAAGTCCCCTTGTTGGCTCACAATCAATTTTCGAAACCGGAAGCTATTCAAGAAAATTGGTGCAGACACACTCTCATCCTGTCAACAGGTTAAAAGCTGTAGCTTTAAACATAGTGCACAAAGATATTTTCTGTTTTTCATCTAAGGTCAAGCAAAATTTAGCAGCAGAACCATGTAAGATGTAACCTTCAAAACAGGGACCGAACACAACAAGGTTACACAGACGCAGATTTTAAAATACACATAATTCATTACCGATAAAATCTACCGAGCTCATACTATATGCATTAGATCAAGAATACCATAGTACTATACCTAAACAGGTCTTGGTAGTCTTAAAAGAGTAAATATATAACCATTTAAATGCTGCATTCTAAAATAATCCAACCCGACACCACGTATGCTAAGAAAATGGTAAGCTGTTTGAATCAATAAGAAATTATCCAATGGACAATGGGTATAGCTTAACATGTTCGATATAGTTTAATAAGAAAATACAATGATAACCTCAGCCAATCAAACATGTTGGGTATAGCTTAACGGGCACTAGGAGAATCACAGACCAAAACCTGGTCGAGGGTATTCAGTAATGCAAATACTCTATAACTTCACTTGAACTGCTAAATTCATAGTACGATGATCGTCTGGATAGAGTGAACTTTGCAATAAATTTCAAAATCTTGCAATCTATTCTTGAATCATTTGAAAGCATTCCTCAAATGTGCCCCTTATAATTTACCATTTAGAAAAAAACAACAATAATAAGTAGCTTAAAATAATATCTGCACATGCTCAACTGATTTTTTTGCTACCCTTAACTACAAATTCTATCTGCAATACATTTCAGAGCACAGATCATAAATTATACAGCAATGACAAATCAAAGAAAAAATGAAGATAAAACAGGATTTGAATTGCAGTCCCATGATAGAACAATCAGCAAAGAATAAGAAAAGAACCTTGCTCACCATTAATGAAAGAAGAGAAAACAGCCTTATTGTCCAGCACCCTCTTCTTCAAGCTTCTGGCAATAAGCTTTAAGCACCATAACCAAATCCCTAGCAGGAGCCTGAATTGTCCCGACAACAGCAGAAGCTGGTCCCTTTATAGCCCCCAAAAGCTGCGAATAAATCTCGGCCCGCGTCGGCAAATTCTCCAGCGACTTGAACTCCTCTGGCCCGTAGAACTTACCCTCGAAAACGGCACCCGTGAAATCATTATCCAATTTCTTCTCCTTCTGGAAATTCCTATACGGCTTCAGAGCCGCCGGGATTTCCTCGGAGTGGACGAAGAGCCAGGCGTTCATGCCTTTCATACAGGGCTCCAGCGCCTCCCATTTGGTGCCCTCGATGGCCTTGAACACGAGGGTGTTTTTGGCGACTATAAGCTTGGAAGTTTCCGGAAGCTGGTCCCTGAGTTCCTTGAACTGCTGAACGGTGAAGCCCTTGTAGCCGATGCTGGCGATGAGGTAGCAGTTCTCGAGTTCCTGCTTCACCTTCTCAATTGTCTCTTCTTTCGTGGTGCGGCTGATGGTGGCCCGGATTTTGGGGAGGGACGGAGTTTTGGGGGGGAATCTGGTTTGGTGGCGGGGTGCGGAAGTGACGAGGGGGTTTACAAAGTGGCTTTTAAGGGAAATGGCGGCGGAGGACGGCGGGGGAGGGCGGGAGGTGGGGAGAGAGAAGAGAGTGGCCTCCATTGTTGAGTGGATTGAGAGTGAGAGGAAGAAGATTGGATCAGTGCCTTATCCAGGGCTTGTGACAGAATAACAGTAATTTGTCCGTCCTCTTATTCTGTTTACTATTTGAGTTAATTATCACTATCTTATTTTTACCCAACCGGATTCACCCTTTCTCGGCGGTGCCGTTTCTCGTGTGTCCCTTTCCTCTCCCGCGCTGATTATTGGAGGCCAGATCTGGATTGAGAATCGTCTCCTCTTCATATCTGTCTAGACAGTTCGAGTTTGGTCGCAATTTTTAAATCAGAGTTTCGGTCTGCTACTCTCTTGGGCTTCTGCACTGTAGGGTTTGGCTCGTGCGCTGGTTTGGGTGGTGAGAAGATTTGGGTGGCAGCGTGTTTCTGTTAGGTTTAGGGAAGGTCTTATTCTAGTTGGTTTTATAGGTATGTGTTGTTTTTCTGTTTTTTTATTTTTTTATTTTTTGTTAGTTTAACTTCATATGATTTTCAGTCTACTCTATGGAGTTCTTGTGTCTTCTATATGGATTTCGTTTTGCGGGTATTTGAACCTCTGGATCATTTGTGTTATTCCAATGGGGGTTGGTCTAAGTCTGTTATGGTTCTAGTGGTGTCTTTTGTGGGGTCCAGCCACATGGCTAATCCAGCCACAAACAAAAACAAACAAGCATTAAAAAATAGAAAGATTCCAACAACTGAAATGATTAGAAATTTTTAATGCATTAGGTTGCTAACTTTGAATAATTGAGCATCTTTCTTCTGCTAATAGCAGCATTTGCAGTGCTGAAAAACGTGCCGAGAAGAAGAAAGAAAAAGAGAGCAGAAACAACATCAGTTTCTGGAGTGAGTGTTATTTTTCAGTGAGATATAAATAGAGTGTTTGAGTAAATCCTGTGAGTGTAGAAAAATACACCGGGTTGGGTATCAACTCTATTACTCCTTGTTTAGGAGTGGGGTTTTACTGGGTCACTATATTTTATATTTCTAGTGTAAGGGAAGTGTGAAAAGATATTGTAATTATCTTAAAAATACAGTGGAATTGTTCGGAGGTTGTCCCGTGGTTTTTTCCTCTATTTGGAGGTTTTTCCACGTTAAATCTTGGTGTCTTATTTCTTGCATATTTTATTTATTTGGGATATTCTTAGTATGCTCTGTGGTTGCAGTTTAATCTGATCTTCCACATCAGAAAAGAATTATTCCTGTTTTATTGCAAGAGATTTTCTTTTGTTATTCTTGAGTTGCTGGGATTGGGATTATTATTCACCATTTTACCTTGATATTTTAATTTACATCTTCCGCATTTGCGCATCTGAGCCCAACAAGTGGTATCAGAGACAGGTTGGGCTCTATATCGACCAGTGTAAATTAAATGGAGGAGAACGTGGGTACTATGGTGAAGCTCACAACAACAAATTACTCCATTTGGAAGCCAAAAATGGAGGACATACTTTTCTACAAAGATCTGTACGATCCTGTGGAAAAGGGAGACAACAAGCCAGATGACGTGAAGGATGACGATTGAAAAAAGTTACACAGAAAGGCTGTCAGTTTAATCAGACAGTGGGTGGATATCAGCATATTCCACCATGTTGCCACAGAGTCAAAAGCCCATACTCTGTGGAACAAGATTGAACAATTGTATCAGAGGAAGACTGCACAGAACAAAGCTTTCATCATTAGAAAGCTTGTAAATTTAAAATACCGGGATGGAAGATCAGTTGCAGAACACTTGAATGAGTTTCAAGACATGGTGAACCAACTTGTTACCATGGAAATGAAACTTGATGAAGAGCTGCAGGCGCTGTTACTTTTGAGTTCTTTACCGGATAGTTGGGAGACTCTGGTGGTCTCGTTGAGCAACTCTGCTCCTGAGGGAAAACTGACTTTGACCCAAGTCAAAGACAGTATGTTTAATGAAGAAACAAGAAGAAAAGACTCAGGGGCAAGCAGTTCCCAAGCCCTGGTCACAGAAACTAGGGGAGAAGTAAAAGCAGAGACCAGAATAACAAATCCAGAGATAAATCACAATCTCAACCCAGGAGAAAGTTCAAGTGTTATCACTGCGGTGAAGAAGGCATATCAAAAGAAACTGCAAAGCCTGGAAGAACAGAGGTTGGAGGAACAACAAATCAGAGAATGGTGAAAATACCGCAACCCCTGTGATCAATGGGGAAGTGGTGTTGCTCTCTGTTGAAGAAGAAGAGTGTCATGTTGCTGATTCATGTGTTGAATGGGTCATTGACTCAACAGCATCATACCATGCAACCTCTCACAAGGAATTCTCTTCTCTATACAAAGAATGAGACTTTGGTAGAGTAAAGATGGGCAACAACAGCATTGCCAATATTGTGGGAGTTGGTGATGTGTGCATTCAAACTGATATTGGGTGCACAATAACACTGAAGGACGTACGACATGTACCAGACTTACGTCTGAATCTGATCTCTGTGCATGCATTGTATATAGCAGGCTATACTAACAATTTTGGTAAAGGCACGTGGAGGCTTACCAAAGGATCGTTGTTAGTTGCTAGAGGTACAGTGAGATCGACACTGTACAGAACTCAAGTGAAGCTGATCAAGGGTGGATTGAATGCAGTCGAAGATGATGCTTCGCCAAATTTGTGGCGCAAAAGACTGACTCATATTGGTGAAAAAGGATTACAAATTTTGGCAAGAAAGTCCCTCATCCCATTTGCCAAAGATTCAAAACTAAATCCTTGTGATTATTGTCTCTTTGGGAAGCATCATAGAGTGTCTGATAGGTCGGAAAATGTGCATGTTTTATATATTTAATAGTGTATTTTTATATGCTTAATTTTTTCGCACTTATATATTTTTTGACTTATTTATTTTTGGATGGATCTATGTGCTTTTATATTTTTATTATTCATTTTCAGAATATTGAAGTATTTCGTGGACGTGGAGCAATGGAAGGAAGTTGACGCGATCAATTATTGGGCACCAAATTCTAAACCCATTAAGTCCATGATTATAATTTATTGAAATATTAATGTGGGCTAAGTATTAGACTTAGGTGGACCAAAGTTTGAAGATAACTGCATGGCCCAACATTAGGCAATGAAGAGTTTTTATTTTGTGGCTGGAGACCTAATCGTATGGGGGGAGAATATTTTTAATTTTCTTATATCTTCGGCGAA